CCGCGCCAGTCTCGCTCGCGGGCGGTTTCCGCGTGTCACGAGCGTCCACCGCGCCAGTCTCGCTCGGGGGCGGTTTCGGCCTGTCACGAGCGCGCTCTCCGCGCCAGTCTCGCGTCCACCGCGCCAGTCTCGCGCGTTTCCGCCTGTCACGAGCGTCCCCCGCGCCCGTCTCGCTCGGGGGCGGTTTCCGCTTGTCACCGTCCACCGCCAGTCTCGCTCGGGGGCGGTTTCGGCCTGTCACGAGCGTCCCCCGCGCCCGTCTCGCTCGGGGGCGGTTTCGGCCTGTCACGAGTGTCCCCCGCGCCCGTCTCGCTCGGGGGCGGTTTCCGCTGCCTCGCTCGCGGGCGGTTTCCGCTTGTCACGAGCGTCCACCGCGCAAGTCTCGCTCGAGGGCGGTTTCCGCCTGTCGCGAGCGTCCACCGCACCAGTCTTGCTCGGGGGCGGTTTCGGCCTGTCACGAGCGTCCCCCGCGCCCGTCTCGCTCGGGGGCGGTTTCGCCCTGTCACGAGCGTCCCCCGCGCCCGTCTCGCTCGGGGGCGGTTTCCGCTTGTCACGAGCGTCCACCGCGCCAGTCTCGCTCGCGGGCGGTTTCCGCTGTCGCGAGCGTCCACCGCGCCAGTCTCGCTCAAGGGCGGTTTCCGCTGTCACGAGCGTCCACCGCGCCAGTCTCGCTCGGGGGCGGTTTCGGCCTGTCACGAGCGTCCCCCGCACCCGTCTCACTCGGGGGCGGTTTCGTCGTCCCCCGCGCCCGTCTTGCTCGGGGGCGGTTTCGGCCTGTCACGAGCGTCCCCCGCGCCCGTCTCGCTCGGGGGCGGTTTCCGCTTGTCACGAGCGTCCACCGCGCCAGTCTCGCTCGAGGGCGGTTTCCGCTTGTCACGAGCGTCCACCGCGCCCGTCTCGCTCGGTGGGGGTTTCGGCCTGTCACGAGCGTCCCCCGCGCCCGTCTCGCTCGGGGGCGGTTTCCGCTTGTCACGAGCGTCCACCGCGCCAGTCTCGCTCGAAGGCGGTTTCCGCCTGTCACGAGCGTCCACCGCGCCAGTCTCGCTCGAAGGCGGTTTCGGCCTGTCACGAGCGTCCCCCGCGCCCGTCTTGCTCGGGGGCGGTTTTGGCCTGTCACGAGCGCCCCCCGCGCCCGTCTCGGTCGGGGGCGGTTCGAGCGTCCACCGCGCCAGTCTCGCTCGGGGGCGGTTTCGGCCTCTCACGAGCGTCCCCTGCGCCAGCCTCGCTCGCGGGCGGTTTCCGCTTGTCACGAGCGTCCATCGCGCCAGTCTCGCTCGGGGGCGGTTTCGGCCTGTCACGAGCGTCCCCCGCGCCAGTCTCGCTCTCGGGGGCGGTTTCGGCCTGTCATGAGCGTCCCCCGCGCCCGTCTCGCTCGGGGGCGGTTTCGGCCTGTCACGAGCGTCCCCCGCGCCCGTCTCGCTCGCGGGCGGTTTCGGCCTGTCACGAGCGTCCCCCGCGCCAGTCTCGCTCGGGGGGCGGTTTCCGCTTGTCACGAGCGTCCACCGCGCCAGTCTCGCTCGCGGGCGGTTTCCGCATGTCACGAGCGTCCACCGTGCCAGTCTCGCTCGGGGGCGGCTTCGGCCTGTCACGAGCGTCCCCCGGGCCCGTCTCGCTCGGGGGCGGTTTCGGCCTCTCACGAGCGTCCCCCGTGCCAGTCTCGCTCGCGGGCGGTTTCCGCATGTCACGAGCGTCCACCGCGCCAGTGTCGCTCGGGGGCGGTTTCGGCCTGTCACGAGCGTCCCCCGCGAGCGTCCACCGCGCCGTCTCGCCGGGGGGCGGTTTCGGCCTGTCACGAGCGTCCGCCGCGCCCGTCTTCCTCGGAAGCGATTTCGGCCTGTCGCTGCTGCTCGCCGGCATGTCAAGAGCGTCCACCGCGCCAGTCTTGCTCGCGGGCGGTTTCCGCATGTCACGAGCGTCCACCGTGCCAGTCTTGCTCGCGGGGGGTTTCCGCATGTCACGAGCGTCCGCCGCGCCAGTCTCGCTCGCGGGCGGCTTCCGCATGTCACGAGGCGTCCACCGCGCCAGTCTCGCTCGCGGGCGGTTTCCGAATGTCACGAGCGTCCACCGCGCCAGTCTCGCTCGCGGGCGGTTTCCGCATGTCACGAGCGTCCGCCGCGCCAGTCTCGCTTGCGGGCGGTTTCCGAATGTCACAAGCAGCCACCGCGCCAGTCTCGCTCGCGGGCGGTTTGCGCATGTCACGAGCGTCCACCGCGCCAGTCTCGCTCGCAGGTTCCCCATGTCACGAGCGTCCACCGCACCAGTCTCGCTCGTGGGCGGTTTCCGCATGTCACGAGCGTCCACCGCGCCAGTCTCGCTCGCGGGCGGTTTCCGCATGTCACGAGCGTCCACCGCGCCAGTCTCGCTCGCGGGCGGGTTCCGCCTGTCACGAGCGTCCGCCGCGCCAGTCTCGCTCGCGGGCGGTTTCTGCATGTCACGAGCGTCCACCGCACCAGTCTCGTTCGCGGGCGGTTTCCGCATGTCACGAGCGTCCGCCGCGCCAGTCTCGCTCGCGGGCGGTTTCCGCCTGTCACGAGCCACCGCGCCAGTCTCGCTCGCGGGCGGTTTCCGCATGTCACGAGCGTCCACCGCACCAGTCTCGTTCGCGGGCGGTTTCCGTATGTCACGAGCGTCACCGCGCCAGTCTCGCTCGCGGGCGGTTTCCGCATGTCACGAGCGTCCACCGCGCCAGTCTCGCTCGCGGGCGGTTTCCGCGTGTCACGAGCGTCCACGCGCCAGTCTCGCACGCGGGCGGGTTCCGCATGTCACGAGCGTCCACCGCGCCACAGTCTCGCTCGCGGGCGGTTTCCGCATGTCACGAGCGTCCACCGCGCCAGTCTCGCTCGCGGGCGGTTTCCGCATGTCACGAGCGTCCACCGCTCCACTCTCGCCCGCCACGGGCGGTTTCCGCATGTCACGAGCGTCCACCGCGCCAGTCTCGCTCGCGGGCGGTTTCCGCATGTCACGAGCGTCCACCGCGCCAGTCTCGCTCGCGGGCGGTTTCCGCATGTCACGAGCGTCCGCCGCGCCAGTCTCGCTTGCGGGCGGTTTCCGCATGTCACGAGCGTCCACCGCGCCAGTCTCGCTCGCGGGCGGTTTCCGCGCATGTCACGAGCGTCCACCGCGCCAGTCTCGCTTGCGGGCGGGCGGTTTCGCGCGGTTTCCGCATGTCACGAGCGTCCACCGCAGTCTCGCTCGCGGGCGGTCTCCGCCTGTCACGAGCATCCACCGCGCCAGTCTCGCTCGCGGGCGGTTTCCGCCTGTCACGAGCGTCCACCGCGCCAGTCTCGCTCGCGGGCGGTTCCGCATGTCACGAGCGTCCACCGCGCCAGTCTCGCTCGCGGGCGGTTTCCGCATGTCACGAGCTTCCCCCGCGCCAGTCTCCCTCGCGGGCGCACCGCGCCAGTCTCGGTTTCCGCATGTCACGAGCGTCCACCGCGCCAGTCTCGCTCGCGGGCGGTTTCCGCATGTCACGAGCGTCCACCGCGCCAGTCTCGCTCGCGGGCGGTTTCCGCATGTCACGAGCGTCCACTCGCTCGCGGGCGGTTTCCGCATGTCACGAGCGTCCACCGCGCCAGTCTCGCTCGCGGGCGGTTTCCGCATGTCACGAGCGTCCGCCGCGCCAGTCTCGCTCGCGGGCGGTTTCCGCATGTCACGAGCGTCCACCGCGCCAGTCTCGCTCGCGGGCGGTTTCCGCATGTCACGAGCGTCCACCGCGCCAGTCTCGCTCGCGGGCGGTTTCCGCATGTCACGAGCGTCCACCGCGCCAGTCTCGCTCGCGGGCGGTTTCCGCATGTCACAAGCGTCCACCGCGCCAGTCTCGCTCGCGGGCGGATTCCGCATGTCACGAGCGTCCACCGCGCCAGTCTCGCTCGCGGGCAGTTTCCGTATGTCACGAGCGTCCACCGCACCAGTCTCGCTCGCGGGCGGTTTCCGCATGTCACGAGCGTCCACCGCGCCAGTCTCGCTCGCGGGCGGTTTCCAGTTAGCCTCGCGCGCCGAGTCTGCACCACACCGCCGTCCTCCCAGCCAGTCTCGCTCGCGGTCTGCGCCACACCGCCGTCCCCCCCAGCCAGCCCCACACCGCCGTCCCCCCAGCCAGCCTCGTACGCCTGGTCTGCACCCCCAGCCGGCATCGCACGCCCGGTCTGCAGCACAACGAAATGGAAATCCCTTCTTATCTCCGTCGTAACAGCTTGTATCGCTCCCAGGCACCTTAAGAGAAAACCTAAAGCAGAACCCAAGCATCAGAGATGCTTTTGGGAAAAATTTAAATTAACTAAATGATTTCAATTGGAAAAGGGGTCTGCCAACTTAAATAATTTAAATGATTTCAAATGAAAATGAGGTCCATTAAATCAGCAAACTTAGCTTACATTTTCAGTCGTGATTATTTAAATGGCCAAACTGAGCTTGCAACTTAAATCATAGGTATTTAAATTGGCAAACTAGAGCTTGCAACTTAAATCGTGGGTATTTAAATTGGCAAACTGAGCTTGCAACTTAAATAAATAGCTCACAGGGCTCCAAACCACATAGTGCATGATCTTCCCTCTTATGGGGGGGGGGTTGGATGGAGGGTTCAAGGTTTGGAAGGGGGAAGAAACTTGAATACAAACACCTGTACAGGGCCTCCCTCGCAATGGGTTTTCCTCGAATTTTTGGGTTGCTGGAGGATTTCCCGGCTGGTTATGGAATTAACTGAAGGGTTGGGGAGTGTTGAGGGAGTGATTGGTGAAGAATGTCATTTTTGTGAAACACCATTTTTGCCAACTAATATCGGTCCAATTAATTTCAAGACATGACATTGCACGAGCCTCAAAAAGTAATTGGGACTCAGCCAGTCCAATTATTTATTGAGACCTCTACCCCTGGATGACCCCTGCATATCTTATTTTCCACCCCCCCTCCCCAGTTCCTCTGTCCCCCGATTGGTGCAAAGACATATTGCGTCAGAACCTTTGATGGTTTAATTCCACATCAGTTGATCGGACCTCTGCTAGGCAACAGCTTGCCATCATGTGCTGCCTCGCAGCTGGCGCAGCTGACACACTTGTCAAATTGTTTAGCTTCAGCTTTGTTGTTTCAGTTTGTGCAACTTGTGCAGCTTGTGTAGCTCCTTCAGCTTGGAAGAAAGGTGGCAAGCGAGAAGAGTGCACCTGTGCCCGTCGGCGGCGCTTCATCGAGCTCTTGGAGTGTCATGGGCATCTATTTGGGCATGCAGCTCAGTAAGCTGTGGCAAGGTGGACAGAGAGGTGTGCATTGCGCTTGCTTCTACTCATTCTACTCACTTGTTTCTTTTGAGTTGCTTGAGGCGTTGTGTACACAGTCGGCCGCTTGCTTCGGAGTGCTTTCCAGGACTCGCTTCCAACACAGTTGTTCAGCATCAGGTGAATCTTGGGTATCCCGTTTGATTTGGAAGCAAGGATTCATCCAAGCGAGTGATCTACGAGGTCTGCGCCCTTAGAATCCGGGATGTTATTTGGCACGTTGTCGGAATCTGCCAGGAAATCCCTGACACGTCATTGCTGGAGGACTGCTCGGCAACTTTATAAGGCTGGTGGTGAATTATCTTATCCGATGCCTAGGACTTGTGCAACGGCATTTACATAGCGCGTATTCAGCGTCTTCTCCGAACCGAATACAAGCTATATTACCAGGTGGGATGCACATTTTTCTGCTGCTGCAACAATCACGCCTTGCAGCGCAGCATGCATTCTTTGGGGCACTTTGCATTCATGCAACGTGCCCGCAATCTCAATGACTTGGCCAGCTGCTGTCTCTTCTCCGGAGCCCGGAGCTTCTCTTGAATGTCACTGGCACTTTTGGGGACAAGAAGCTGGACAACGAGGTTGGCAGATCACATTCACGCTTTTGCAAAGGTTTCACATGTAGCATGTGTGTGGTACGTGCTTGTGTATCCTTGAGATGGACTTCATGGCCGAAGGGGAGTACGAAGTGGGATGTGGATGTGATGGAGGCCCTTTCCTGGAGGATTTTCTTGAACTCCGTTGGAGTTTGCCAGGTGGGAAAATTCAGGCAGCTGACCAATGGCTCTCAGCGGCTAATGCGGGCGCACATGTGCGGCTCCAAGTACTGAAATGACCAGTCCGTATTTGGAGCCGATGTCAGCCTCAGGCAGAGCAAGAATCCCATGAGACGTACATAGTGCCGGAAACATCAGCTGCAATCGAAGAGGACTTGAGGCGCAAATTGCAAGCTGGATAAGTGCAACAATCATGCCTGGCAATGCGAAGTGTCCAGGCAGATGGATGAGATCGAGGAAGACTTGCGAGCAGCTGAGAATCCGCAGATGGGGGAAGTGGAGCTTGAGAGGCCGGCATTTTGGTCTTTGCCGGACAGGTTGTTCGAGCGCTGCCTGCATGCATTGCACTGGATCCCGCTAATACAATACGACATTCTCGGCAGTTGAAGTTGAAGGCACCAGACCTCTTTGCCTGATGACTACCATGCCTCAAATGCACAAAGACCCACTTGGACGGATGCATCAGGGTTGCGTAAAAGACAGTTCTTGCAGGTTTATGGGAGTTGCAGACTCGCAGTTTGCGCCAACAAGTCGGCTGGAAGGCAAGTTGTGCTGAATGTTTTGCTTGCAGTTTCATCATTTGGTTGCGCCTTGTCAGACATATCAACGTCGGTATCACCTTCTGGTGAGCTACGACGACGCTCTCAGGCTGGCTGACAGCGTTTGTGTGGCAAAAGTAAGGACGGTCAGACGGTCGTCGTGCCTAATGACGGAAGTTGTTGCACTCTTGGATGTCCAAAGCATTGCATTGCTGCCTTTGATGTGCGCATCGCTTATCATGCCAGTAATCAACATGATATTGGCACAAATCCTCCAGTGATACTGTAATTCCGCCAGGCCACCAGTCACCGTGCGAGTGCGGCAAGCAACCTGGAAATCTGATAAATTCGATGGCACTGTTTTCCATTGGCGCACCAACTGTCTCCGCTCAGAGGAGACCTCCAGAACGCTTGCCACCTGCAGAGAATCAGCTGCGTCAGCCTATCAAGATTTCTTATCAATGAGTGAAATCCAATGGGCACTTTCCGTTTCCAATGACAGCTGTTGTCAGTGTTCCTACATGCATCTCACTTCAATTCGCCATGGGGCACACAGGTCTCTGCGGGTTGCAGGCGTTCTGGGCCCAGCTACTCAGCGACTGCACAAGGCATCGCAGTGTCCCTGGCAATGTGTATACACGAGCCACATGTTAGCCACACATTTGGCGCTCTTTGCAACTGTGCTTCGACAAACGTCGCAGCGCCGGAGAGCCGGCATGTGCCAGGGATTGCTAGATAGCATGCTCAATCACCCACCTTGCGAATCGGTACAGAAGGAGCAGTGGGCGACAAAGTGGAAGCTCTTGTGCCCACTGAAAAACCAGGAAGAAATGTCAAGGCAGCGCGTGTGGTCCAGCTGTATGCACTCACGCTGTTTGCCGTCGCATTTTGCTTGATCAGCCGCACGGCGGTACTGAGGAGTTTCACGATACAAAATCCCACATCTCGAAATCAAGAATCACTTGTCCACAGGTGTTTGCGTCGCTTTGCAGTTTACAGTATACAGGATTAGCCTGTGCCACTGAGAGCGACGCCGGTCTGGCTCTGAGTGTCCAAAATCCGCAATGTCAAAAGAGGTGCTGATACTGTAGCTGCAAGGCATGGCTCCTCTCAGCGAGCAGGACAGAGATTGAGCAGCGAGCTTGCGCATGCAGACTCGCACATCTTCACAGCGACGGCTGGAGACGAGCGCAAAACACAATGTGCCATGCAAGGAGATGCAAAGAGAGCTGGACAAATTCAAGGCAGTTGGAGCTTGCACACATGCTTTGAGGACACATGGTCCCTGCTTTGTGTGTGAGTGGCCACACAGGCAATGCAAGAGACTTTGCAGAAAGCATATGAAGCGCGAATGGGCCTGATTGCTCAGCAGCAGGAGCTTTGCGTAGAATCGACAGAAAGCTGCTTTTGGAGTCGAGTCTGTTGAGTAGAGCTGTTGTGTTGTTGGCGCGCTAGGAGACGGAGCTTGTGAAGCAAGAATTCGACACCATCGAGGAGATAGCCGTGTTCTGCGAATCCCGTGGCAAAAGAAACTCCGGTGTTGCCTTGCATTGAAAGGCAAATAGTGAAAACAGATAATGTTGCGGGCGAAGAAGCTTCTGGCGCTTGGTGGCCAGCAGGTATGCAGTGCACACTGCGCCACATGCTACCCTTGCAATGATGGCCTGTCAGGAGGATGCCGTGGTGTACAAACTGGTGGGGCCAGCGCCACGCTTTGAACAAGCGTTTATGACTGAAGTGAGTTGATTCATTCGGGACAGGGGAGAATTTTGGGGGGTGGTTAGAGAAGCTGCGAGAGTGGCACGATTTTGCACAGTTTGATCGTGTTTGAGGTTATGGTCAAGCAGAACGTCGATGATGCCAAGGCCGTGTCGGCAGCCAGGGCAGCCTCCAAGCATTTCAGCGCAGGGCAACGTCACCAAGCGATTGGAGTACATCTCAGGTGAGCTGGAAAGGCCCACCCTGGTTGTTTGCAAATGTTACATGAATCTGAATCTGTGGGAATATGTGGATGCAGGTCCAACAAGATCATATCAGACAAGGAGAAGGAGCTGGGAGACAAACAAAAGCAGCTGATAAAGCCGCAATCTCAGACAAGCTTTGGAGCAGATTTCTAGCGTGTGCTGCATTAAGAGACATTGAGCTGCTTGGCTTGCGGCCCTCAGCCTTTTCAGAGCATGACCAAGGATGCAGCAAGAGATACAAGGCAGTTGAAGAATGCATTGCATGCAGAAAAAAAAGGACTTGCTGGCTTGGGTCGCTGCTGATGCGCTTTTCAGTTTGAGAAAGACATTGTCCAGTTTGCTACGGTAGCGTAAGATGTCATCACTTTTTTACTAGCGAACAAGTTTGTTGCATCGTACTCGCTGAGGAGGCTGCCCAGACGTAGTGCCGTAGGTGATTCTGTAGCAACATTAATGCAAGCCCAAAGGATACCTGTTCTTGAATTTTTCTGGCAGAGAGGAAGTTCCAGATTGAACTTCCTGCATGCCGTGTTTTATTGTCCTTGCTCTCAACATGCACACTATTTTGTTGACTGCAGTGCCTAATCGCATCACATCGCATCCACGATGCAAGTCTTTCTGGTGTTGAGTTTCACATTTCAGAGCCGGCAGCTTCAGTGCCAAAGGCAACAAACTCAGGAAGACTAGGGCGGTCCAAGAGTGCATATGCAAAGGAGCAGCATTTGATTCGCCAAAGCGCCTTCAAAGGCAGGTTGGTAGGGTCGAGTCAAGAGCAAATGATTCTGGGCACACTTTCGGGACGTTTTGATCCTCAGAGGCTTTCCACGAGCAAGCATGATATGTTTGAATTTTGTTGAAGCCGCTTCCCGGCTTCCCGCATTCCTGCTTTCTCAGTCGCCCAGCTCAAGCCTGGGAAGCTGGTGTTTGGCACTTTCATGCTCACATGGCCAGGCCCTACTCGAGCCCTTGCGATAAGCAACCCCGTGTCCTGAAAGGCTGGCTTTCAGAGGCGGATGTGGCGCACTTCAAACATATATACAGGACGACAGTGGAGGAAGCGCTAGCAAACCGAAAGGATCGAATGGATGGCAACAGGCCAATCCAGTACTATGACCTGCTCAAGTACATGCACACATGTCGCGTTCGCGACGCGCGCCTGAAAGACATCATTGAGAAGATCCATCACCGGGTGGAAGAGGAGTTCGGGCCTGGATTTGTCATCGTGCATGACTTCTGGTCCTACCGCGCTCCAGGGTCCTTTCCTGCGCCTATCATGCACACAGACCCCGCCTTCTGGATGACGGGCCGTCATGATGGCTTCAACCTTTGGTTTCTGTTGGATCACAGGGACATGGCCTACGGCATCGATGTGCTCACCAAGGAGGACAACGAGGAGCTCTATGCCTGCAGCGCCCTTGGCCTCCCCCACGCGCCCCCTTTCCTTTTTGCAGGCAGCAAGGGCAAGGCCGGGGGCGAATGCCCGGCCTTCGTTCATCGTATTCCCTTGCGGATGTGGCCCATGCTTTTCGAGTGGCAGAATGATTTGGCTCAGGCTTTAGGCACGCTCTGTTGCATATTTTCTACGTGGTGGTTGCAGAAGGCCGTAAGCCTCAGCAAGCGCCTGCAAGATGCTCTGCCTGCTTGGGCCTTTCGTGGTCTCTTAGGAATCTTTGGGTGGCTGGGTAGCATCTACCCTCTGCCGCCCCTCACGCTTAAGCCCCGGCACTTCGAGCTGCAGGTGGGAGATGCGCAGGTCATCCGCCAGGACGAGCTGCACGCCTCCGACCAGGACGTCGGACGTTCTCGCAGCTTGCTGCTTTCAGAACTTCTTTCCCGGACGACATCTCAATTTGCCCTCACTTTTCCCAGGCTGTTTAAGCTTTAAGAGCCCTTTTCATGCTTGAGGCTAGGATCCGCTGATGTCAAACATGTCAGACCTGACTGCAGATGTTGTCTACTGCTCTAACCCTTTCACAGCTGAGTGGCCAACCTCAGCGGCAGATGACATCCTCTCATCAGGTTGGGGGCAAAGGGGAAAGGCGGAAGGGGGGAATTCGCCAAAGTGACCGAAGTGAGCTTGGTGAAACGTGCGAGGAGCCGCTGCGGGAAGGCCAGTTCCGCTTGGCCATCGGCTTCAAGTTCATGAAGTCTTCTGAGAGCTCCCCAGTGACACGGTACCTGGTGAACGGCCCCTCGGCCACGTTGAGGCGCCACATTCGGGGCCTGAAGCTCCCGCCGAACCGACCGCTCCCGGACATCTACCGGATGGACGAGGTCGATATGGCCCAGGACAAGCCCGGCCCCTTCTCTCGCGCCGTCGGCGTCCCCATGGGCGCCAAGCTGGGCCGCTTCATCGCTCCAGAGAAGTGAGTCCAGCATGGCGCGAAGTCGGCCCCTGATTTGAATGAGTTAGTCGAGTTAGTTGCCACAGGTGAGCCGTAGATGCGCCACCTCTCGAAGCTCTGCCAAAGGTAGATGGCGCGTTTGAAGCTGGAGAAGGGCCCAGGCCCAAAATGGATTGCATACTGACTGACAGGAGGCGCGCGAATTGAATTTGCAGAGCCACTCAGGCTCTGAGTGGCTCTGAGTGGCTCTGAGTGGCTCTGAGTGGCTCTGAGTGGCTCTGAGTGGCTCTGAGTGGCTCTGAGTGGCTCTGAGTGGCTCTGAGTGGCTCTGAGTGGCTCTGAGTGGCTCTGAGTGGCTCTGAGTGGCTCTGAGTGGCATCGAGTCAAATTGAGTGGCCTTGAGCGGCGCTGAGTGAGTGGCACGGAGTGGCTCTGAGTGGCTCTGAGTGGCTCTGAGTGGCCGTGACTCACCGAGTGGCGAGGAGGGTTCGCAGCCATGCGATGTCTGTTCATGACAGTGCACAGGGGAGTTTATTCCGCCGCATAGCCCTGCCCCCTATCCAAACCCTAGGACATTGAGGGTGCGTTTTGTAGAACGCATGGACGGCAGCTACACGTCCCACAAAGAAGCAAGACTTCTGGTATGCTCTCAAATGACGCGAGTCTACCAAAATCCTATGACAGCGAGGCCGTGTTTTGTGTAACGCGTGTCCTACAACAAAAAGCAACGCCGCATCAGCAGCATCACCAGCGCCACCAGCTTGCGAGATTGCGTGTTTGCCTTCAAGCTACGCATGTCTACAGAAATCTTGGCACAGCGAGGGCGTGTTAGAGCGAGAGAGAGAGAGAGAGCGAGAGAGAGAGAGAGATAGAAAGACAGACGTGAAGATAGACAGACTAGTAGAAATACACATGCATAGATAGATGAATAGTGATACAGAGAGAGAGAGAGAGAGAGAGCGAGAGAGAGCGAGACAGAGATAGATAGATAGATAGATGGATGGATGAATGGATAGATAGATAGATAGATAGATAGATAGATAGATAGATAGTCTAATAGATAAATGGATAAACATATATGGACAGTTAATAAGAGAGATAGAGAGAGAGACAGACAGATAGATAGGTTAAGTAGACAGATAGATACAGAGATAGATAGGATAGGTAGATAGATAGACAAACCCACATGCAGAAAAAGCACCGAGGGATAGAGGGATAGAGGGATTGGGGTAGATAGCTAGATCGATAGATAGATAGATCGATTGATGGATTGATAGATTGATAGATAGATAAATAGATAGATAGGAGATAGATAGACACATAGACAAGGTAGATAGAGAGTAGATAGACAAACAGCCGGGTAGGTGTAGAAATGAGAGAGGTTGATGGGTGTGTAGATACTTTGATAGATAGATAGGTAGATAGATAGGTAGACAAACAGACAGGAAGACACCTAGATAAATCGATCGACAGATACGCAGAGGAGAGAGAGAGACACAAGAGAGAGAGATAGGTTTGCTGGATGGGTAGCTAGATAGACACAGTGGCAGATTGATTGAGTGCTCGAATTTGTAGATCGAGAAAGGAATAGAAAGATAGCTGCACAGATAGCGATTTGAGATGTAAATAGAAGGCAAGAAATACTTAAAGAGAAGAGAGATCCAAAGAACATCCAAAATTTAAACAGAAAACAACAAGGCAAGAAAGACAGAAAGCAAGAAAGACAGAAACAAAGCGAGAAAGAGAACAAGAAAGACAAAAATCACGAGTGGCGATCCGGGAATCGCTTTGCCGCGCGGGATTCGGGATCCCAATTTCGGGATTCGGGATTCGGGATTCCAATTTTGAGATTCGGGATTCGGGATTCGGGATTCGCGAATCCCAAATCCCAATCCCAATTTCGGGATACGGAATTTGGGATTCGCGAAGACCAAATCCCAATCCCAATTTCGGGATTCGGGATTCGGGGATTCGGGGATTCGGGATTCGCGAATCCCAAATCCAACTTTGGGTTTCGGGATTCGGGATTCGCGAATCCCAAATCACATTCCCCAGGAGCTTCTCCGGATCACGTCTCAAAAGAACACAGAAATCGACAAAGAAAGCAGAAACACAAACAAGGACGGAAAGAAAGGAAACAATGGAAAGCAAAGGAAGGACATAATAAGAGAAAAAGAAAGAATAACAAAACTACAGTTTTTACGTTGAGAAACTTCCGACTACCACCAGCCCGACACATGCCCGGGGCTGTCTGGGATGCTGCGGAGCACCCAACTAAGACCTGGCGAAACACCCGACTAAAGCCCAGCGGCGCGTTCGGGACGGGATCAAGACGCTTTTATTGAAAAAGAACGTCGCATGCTGCTGGGCAAGCTGACGATGCTGGTGATGCGGGTGATTGGTTATGATGGTGTTGGGGATTTCTGTAGATTCGCGTACATCAGCAGCAATCTTGCAAGCTCGTGATGCTGGGGATGCAGAGACGCCTAGCATCCGTTCAATCATCGGCTTGAATGTTTGAACACGATCGACTCGTGAATTTGGAGGCTCCAAGTCTCAGAGTTTTTGGGCGGCGCAGCAGAGCCCCTGGAGTCCCTGAGAGTTGCCCCGGGCCACGTGTGATTTCTTGAATGCCTTCATATAGTCATGGTCCGCCACAATGATTGCACAGTAGTGCTACAGTGGGTTGCCAGGTTTTTGGCCTTGGATTCTTGGCTGGGTTACGAGCAGGCTTCTTGGCCCGAGTGATGGCCCGAAGGCGGGTGCGTTTGTGAGGAGGGCCCACCTCCGGACGGAGTTTGGTGACCCTTACCCCCGCCATGCCGGCTCTGCAAGTTTGGGGGCTCTGGGGGCTCGGGGCCTTTCTTGCAATTTCAGGAACAGCAAAAGCTGCGGGAGACCCCAGTGTAGTGGATGACGCGTCCGCGGACTGCTTCACTTGCTACAGCGGTGACGCTGGCAACGTCACTGCCATGGAGCTCCTGCAGACACATGTTGACTTGTCCAGCAACGGCGCGCAGCGCGCCCCCTCTGTCCCCTTCAAGGAATGGACGGCGTCGCCACAGGTGCTCCGCGCAAGCGGCGGCATCCTCCTCGTGTGCCTTCTGTTTGTCTTGAGCTTTAGCAGCACGGACATCCTGGTGAGTGTGGCAATTTTTACGGATCTATTTATGACAACCGTCCTCACCCCTCTTGCGCCGACGCTCACGGCGGACTACCAGCTCATAGCACTGCTCACACGCTCAAAGAACATAGTGACTTGCCTGCTTGCGCCCTTCACCGCTCGCTTCATTGATGGAAATGAAGCCAAGTCCATGCAGCTTGGGATGCTGTGCGCGATGCTGTGCACGCTGAGCATGGCGGCGGCAACTCGGTCGCAGATCCAAGCAGAGTACGACGTTCTTTTCTTTCCCATTCATGCACACCATGTAACACTGACCTCTGATCAAGAAGCCCTCCGTTCTCAAGGCCGTCAACGTTGTTAAAGCCACAGCCCTGCCCCCTGCCTACCCCAGATGAGTACTGTAGGCGGCATGGGCAACACGCTTTTCACAGCGAGCCAGTCCCTTTCAGATGGCTGTGCTAGTAAAGCCGACCCTGCGTAAGACCTGTCCCCAGTTTCCTGGTAGTTCCTTGTAGTTCCCTGTAGCTCCCTGTAGCTCCCGCTTTCAAGGTGAAGGATTACTGGTTCTGGCTGGCAGTGCGGAGCCTCAGCGGATGCTCGACGGTGGCCTGGCTGATTCACGGATGCGTTGGTGGGGTCGAAACTTTGACTCCTTGGCCGACATTAGGATGCTGCGAAGTCAGGGTGGTCCTTCTTGGAGTTCGGGATATCTCAAACAGTTAGTTCATAAAGGACAATGCTGGCTGAAGTAGGTCCCGTACCTTGTACTTTAGAGCCTCCGGCTCAGTCCGCCGACGTTTCACCGTGCATTGAAGGTCCGCCCAAAGGTTCACCATTGGAGACTAATGAAGGCCTTGCTTCGCATTGCACAAGATTGAGCAGTTTGTCAGCTTCAGTGTCAGGAGGCTGTTGTGCTTTGCACATCCGGCGAGTCATGAGCACACTTCCTCTCCACCTTCACCTACTTTGTTTTCTTGCAGAGTGAACTCTCAGGCGGCCACCAGAAACGCAGGCAGACCGGACACGTCGGTGGCTTTTGAAGTACATTCAGATGCTTCGCAATGCCGGCCATCGGAAACGCGAGTAACGCGAAGTGTTGTGTTGTTCCTGCGCTTTCGCTTTTCGGCAAAAAAGCACGCCAAAATCGAGCATGGATGGGCATGAGCGGGGCCTGACAACTAAGCAGGTGTCCACATGTTGCAGTCTTGTGTCCGCCCAAAGCCCAAACAAAACTGCAAAAACGCTGTGTTGTGTCACGTTTTAAACCAAAACCATGACCAAAACCGAGCTTGACTTGGGATCAGTGCGGCCTGACTACTAAGCAGCTTTGCATATTTCGCACCCCGCCCAAAACCCATGCAGGCCAATCTTAAGTTGCGGCCGCAGCCCGAGCCGACAGGGAGCCGGCAGGCAGCGGGATTTGAGCCTGCAGGGGGGTAGTGATGCTTTCGGGAGAGAGCCAGAACCGAAACCCGGAACCCAAACCCGAAATTCTTGTGGAGCCCTAGGCCTAGGCCGCTCCGAACCTTCCAAGCCTTATCTGGGCAACGACAAGATTTCGGCCAAACCAAGTGCAACAAGCTCCTCCCCAGATGGTTCCCGAGAACCCGTTTGCGAACATCCATCTCCGAGACGACACCTCAAGCTCGCTCCCCCCTTTGCGAACAGAGCACTGAAAGAGTCAGCAGCATTTGTTCGTCCCAGGGCTCCTTACGAAGGGGGGGGGGGGGGTACTTTTTTGACTGGTGAACACTACTTTTTGGTTTATCCCAAACGAAACAAAGGGGGGATGAGTTGCCTATTTGACTAAGTGTCAATAGATAGTGAAAAGGGACCGGAGAGAAAAACACACACACACACACACACACACACACACACACACACACACACACACACACACACACACACACACACACACACACACACACACACAC